GAAATTTTTAACCTTAATGGAGTGAGAAATAATTTGAATGACAAATGGTAAGGGCATCTTTTTAACATGTTTATTTACCTGATAACATATTATTGTAATTTTCACCCATATATTATTATGTAAGTATATGTTCAAGCAAGAACAATTATCATATAAATAAATAAGTATATATTACCATCAGTTCAACTAATCCGACCCAGAAAACGATGACTCGCTTGTTTTTCTTATTCAACATTCAGTCTGATTTTTGGTATGTGACAAACATGACGGATAATAAGAATCATAGTTCTCATTTGAGGAATAGCATTGGATGCGAGCATCTATTGAGACCTTGGCAGTTAATACTCTCTCGGTTCTGAGGTCAGGAGAGGAAAAAAAAAAAAAAACTCTCTCGGTTCAGAACATAAACACGGGCAGGGAGGCTTTTTTACTTAGATACTCCAAACAGGAAAAAAAAAATTAAAATTTTACATGGCTAATAATATTTACTAAAATACCATAGCTGAAATCCTAATCCAAGAATAAGTTTAAAGATAAACTAAAATATACATTTAGCCTTTTAATTTTATATAAAATTTTAATTTGGTCCCTTAACTTAAAAAATTATATTTTTAATCTTTTAATTTTAAAATTATTAGTTTCATATGATATTTTTTATAACAATCATAATTGTTTTGAATATTAAATTTAATATTATAACATTTAGTAATGTTTTATCAATATTTAAAAGTTTCATCTCATCTTTTTTGTTAATGATTCTAGAATTAAAAAATTAAAAAAATATTTTGTAAAGTTAAAAAATTAAAATTCAACGTGAGGTAAAATTAAAGAATTAAAAATACACTATAACTTTTCGTACACGCAGCGAACGAGGTTGGATTCTTCTCTCCTCACGTCATCCCAGTACATCTAGCGTGTTTATTTTTTTGCTGAGAGAAAAGTGAAGTCGCTTATGGCGTGAACCAGTTCAGCTTTGCATCTCTCTTCCCCACAACACACTATTTGAACACATCTTGCTCGATTTTACCTTCCCATGCGAAAATTATACCGTCCTGATAAAGAGAATCGAGGTTTACCTTTTTTCTTTTTTTTTTTTGCCTTTTTACAGATGTCTTTTTATTAAAACTTTAATCTATCAGCAGTTTCATAAAAGACATGAGAAAAAACAAAATACTCCTCCAATTTTTAATATAAAATTTATTTAACTAATTAGATTATATTAAAAAAAAGAGATAAATTAGTTAATTATCAAAACTACGATATATTTTTCTTAAAATATTATAATTATCTTTTTAAATATCTCTTTAATTTTTTACTTGGTTATAGTTGAGGGAATATTAATAGAAGTAATTTAAAAAAATTGATGAATATAACAAATATACTTTATATTTAGAATCAAAATTAATTCAATAATTAGATCTTACATTAAAAACTGGAGGACTATTTTTTTAAACACGAGCTACCATTGATAAATAATATTGTGGTTAAAAGAGACTCATTGGATATTTTGTTATTACTTATTACTCGTTAGTGTTTGGACACCCATAAAAGCATCTAGAAAATGCTTTCAAACATAACAAGACAAAATTCATGGCACATATTTATCTTAAATTTCTTTAGGGATAAATTTGTCTTTCACACAGTTGGGCGGGCAAAGGAAAACTGGTTCCGCCAAATTGTTCCAATGAAAAATGTAATCTCCATGGAAATTATTTTCCCACCAGAACAGCATACCAAACTTGTCTTAGTTGTTGGCTGCACCACCCAAATTCTTTGAAAATTCAGCTGATCTTCTAACTCTTTTATAATGCTATGTAAATCCTGTTAATGGCAGCACTTGCAGAAAAACAATAAATCCTAGTCATGTTCTATAGGCACTATCTTTAAAAACTAATCCACAACTACCGATAAAGTAAGATATGACACTTTTTAAGATTAAACAGATTCTTCTTATAAAAACAGAATGAGCTAAACAGAAAAAGATAAAAGAACTTATCTAGACGAAACACTAAAGAAGAAAAGAGAATTGCCCGAAAGCTCATAGCTTGATATGTCCTCTAAACTTTGGTTTCATGCTCTTTTGATAGATTGCGGATCACAATATCAAAGAACTTTTCTTCCCTTAAGTTACATGCCAAAGAACTTTAGTCAGGAAAATTCAATTGCTACTCTCTCTGTTTTTTTTATAAAAAAAACAACTATTAAAATCATACAGTTTAAAATGTTTATTATATTTAATTAAAAATAAAAATATATATATTTAATTATACTTTTGTTTATAAAGACTAAAGAAAATACATGAGAGATAAAAAAGTGACGAATTACTGTAGAGAAATGATAAGTAAAAATTTATTATAGTGAGATAATAAGTGAGATATATTTAAGGAGGATAAAAATAGAAAGACAAGTTTAAAATTTTAAATAAAAAAATTTGTTTTTTATATTTAGAAATACCATTATAAGAGAAAATATTTCTTATACAAAGAAAGCCAAAATACATATAATCCCCTTTAATTTTAGCTCTGTTGCATATAATTTCATTTTTAAAAGTTTAAAAACCACATCCTTAACTTCTATAGTTTGACATTTAATCTTTTACCATTAAAATGGTCATTAAATCTAACTATGTAGATGCGAGATTTCATGAAAAGACCAAGCACACTTTTAAACTCTATATTTATTTCCATCTATCTATTTTCATATCCATCTCCATTTTATCAACTTCCTCATACTCAACAAAGGCACCACTTTTAATTAATTTATCAGAACTAGTAGTTAATCATTAAATCTGTTTTAAATATCCATTTCCATTTGCATTTTGACAAAGGGATTGACGCATGGAGAAATAATCTTCAAGACTAGTTCTACTCGGACAAACATATATACAGTACAAGAGAATAACAAACATTAATCTTGCCTATGAATAGAAAATCCAAATAAAAGGTGCATAAAAGTACAAATATAAAATATTACAAATTGAAAAGTTTGCTTCTGAAATAAATAAGCGTCTGCGTCCACATATTTACTACTCAAACATCAAAATACATGCAAGGGGTTCTGGCCCAAAAAAAAAAATACATCCAAGGGGCATCATGCATTGCAATCCAGCAAAGTGGAGTTCACATGCAACATTCCCACTAATATTTTGTTAATTCTAGTTCACAGTAAAAACATGGGAATTATATCACGTGTTTGTTTTTAAAATACAATCATGAGCATTGAGCCAAAAAAAAGAAAAGTTCTATTAAATTGTAACCTCCAGTGCTTAATATAAGACTTATTTAATTAATTTTAAAAAATTAATAAACTTAAATAGATTACTTTAACATATTATATTTATTATTTTTTTCAAAACTAATTTGTTCAACTTATAAATAATCTAACAACATGTATAGAATTTTTTAGAGAGATCACTAATATATGCAAGAATTAAGTGATGTTTTAGTTTTTTTTATTTTTTTAAATTAGTTAATTTTGTATTGTATTAAAAAAAACTAATATCCTAGTCCTTATGTTTCATCAACTTCTGAAATGAGTCTTTATAGTTTTTTTCCTCTTGTTATCCCATCCTTGTTGCACGGTTTTAATCTCCTTCCATTATAACACTGTTACTTTCAGGGTGATAGGCGCTAGCATGTCTTCTCTTCCCTTAACTCGACCATCTCCTTCCTTGACTTCTCTCTCCCCCTTCCCCACTCAGTTGAAACTGGTGCAAAAGAAAGAGAGGCCCAAGCTAGCACTCAAAGCTCGGCTCAGAGCCACGACGCTGCTCACTTGTCCACCTCAAACCTCAGCTGGGCATTCCCCGAGTCCCTTATGTGCATGTTCTTTCCTCCTTCACTTCTCCCCGGTGATGTGGTCGTCATCCGCCGACCTGACTTCCTTGACCGAGTTACTCCGCTGCCCCGCACTCCTGCCTGCTCGACCACGAACCCTTTTGATTCACTTGACGATTGCGACTTCAGAGCCGTCACCAGCTTATTCGATTTCGTTCTTGCCAGCCCCCATATGTATTTGTCGTCATCATACATATGATAGCTGAGATCCACACCAGAAAATAAAAGTCTGTTTTTTTATTGTTTCCTTCTAGATGACACATAAACATGGAGAGAGATGAAGAGGGAAGGATATGAATGTTTTTCAGTTATTCTATGTATATAAAATTTGGAGAGAGGATAATTTTAACTATTTAATTTTTTATATACTCTTTTATCATTTTTTTATACATTTTTTATAATATTATATTTATATCATGAAAATACTAATATGTTTATCCCAAATATTCACCCTCTAGAGATTAATTTAGGTAGTAGGTACTCATTAGTTTAATAAACACCCAATTTAATTTTTATTTTTTTAAATAATTTTTTAATAGGTATAAAATTAAAAATAAAGATAATATGTAAATTATTATTTTTTTAAAAAATAATTAGTTAAAAATTAAAAATACTAAAGTGTTAAAAATATTGATTGAAATGGCAAGTAATCTCATCTAAATTCAAATCTCGGACACTTGAGTGCTAGCTTTTCAATGGCATCTATTAGCACCAGATTCAACCAAGAAATCTTGCAAAAAGTCCCGGCGAAAACAGAAAAATAAATCGATGAAGAAAAACCCGTACCCAAAAATCTATTATCCAAACGCGAACTAGGCAGAACCAGAAATTGGTGTTCCACTCAAATCTTCCAAGAAAGCAAACAAGGAAAACCAAAAATCGATGTTCCTCATCGTCAATCTAGCTCCAACTTGCAAAGATGCGATCTTCACTAGCAGAGCCAGAAATCGATGAGGAACCAGAAAGCTCATAGGACAATGAAGTCATCGCCGGAAAAAAGAACAAAATGGAGAAGGCGAAGATGAAGTGGGGAAGAAGACGAAGCGGGAGATCCGTGGAGAGGATAAGTCGCCCTCCCATCTCAGTGCTCACCAACGGTGGGTTCAAAGATCACTTGCGGTGTGGGAGAAGATTGTCGGTGGGGGGGGGGGGAAGAAACGTATGATGCGCTTGCCGTCGCCGGTGCTACAGGTCGCCGTTCAGGATGAGACCAGTGATGATGCTATGCAGATGGCGTCGATGGGTCGACTTTGAAAAAGAAAAAAATGAGAAGGGTAAAAATAAAATTTCAGAAACTCTCTCGAATTTCGTGTAATATGAAAGCCTATTCCCTTAGCCCATAATAATTATAGCCAACTGGCTAGAAAAACATAATTGTACCAAACAGACTTTGAGCGTGGAATTTAATTTCATTTTCGTTTTTGTTTAGAGGAACTTATGCTGGAAACCAGTGGGAGTAATTATTTGAAGGGAGTCAAGTCAATGGCGCATTATGAAGCTTCCTCGTTTCTTCTTCCCCTACATAAATCTTTCTGGAACCCTTAACTTCACTTCATTCACTCTTCTGCACAAGCAGAAGCAGTGTAAGCCTTATAAATCTCTCTCTTCTCTGGTCTTTATCGTCAATTAGCAAATACACTGGTAACTTTCTGCTCTATCTAGACTTTTTCCCCTTAATTAACAGTTTCTTCTTCTTCTTTTTCAGAAAGACACGATTGGTTGATCATTCAAGAGTCCAGTATCTTGGAAGTGGACAAACGACAAAAGATTCCATGGATCTGATGTTTCAGCCTCTGAGCCAGCAGGGTAACCCATTTATCCTTTCACCTCCCGTGTAAAGATATTTGATATCTTATGCTCAAAAAAATTAAAAGATGGGTTTCAAAAAGAATTCGATCGACACAAAAGAAAATAATCCCCACCCAGCAATAATCCATATTTTATTTTCTCCTTTTTTTTTTTTAAAATTCTTACCTGGCATTCAAAACCCGATTTCGAAGCCAGAATCGACCCTTCCAGCTGCCCCCGCCCCTGCTGCAAACTTAGAGTTTTGTTATTAAATGCAAAAGCTTTTGGTTTTTATCAAATGTTAAACAATTAAAAATAATTTATATTCCTTTTTTTATAAACCAGATTGATTGTCTTAATTTTTTTTCTTGATTTCGTGAAAACCTAACTATGATTTTAAAAATAATTTTACAATATAAAAATTAACTATGTGAGTAAAGTTTTATCTCCTTTAAAAGTGCTTTTTGGTTTCCAAACACCACAAATCTGAAATATATATATATATATATATATAATGTCGTTTTGAATTTTAAGAAAGCCTTAGGATTTAGAGTGCAGCTAAAAAAAAAACATCAACGCATCAAAAAATAAGACCAAAATGTTAGATACACTATAGAAAAAATAGTATGTTGGTTGCACTTAAAAAATAAGATCAGGTGTTGAATACATCTTAACTTTTTAAGCAATAACAATATATTAGATGCGAACATGTTTGTTGGATCATGAGTGATTTAATTTATGCACAAACATTCCATTAATGCATTTTTATTCGAATGTTACCCTATATGAGGTGGCACTCTCAAAGCATTTAAGAATTTTTCTCTATATAAATATTTTTGTGCATATTATTTAAATCAGATCATTTTAATCATAACCAACGTGATATTGAGTTGACCTTATTTGATTCATTGATACTTTGAATTATTGTCTTGACCTGTTGGTTAATAATATTTTCAATATTTTGGATTTTTTTTCACTAGCGCGATATTTTGGATTTCTTAAATTACAAAATTACTTTTGAAACTTACAAAATATTGAAGTAAAACTACAAATATGTGTGCATCCCTCGGCCCCAAAAAAGACATTGAGGGTCTGTTATGGGGCACGGTGATGTATGTGAGATTCTTCTTTGGGAGAACTGCATTAAACTTCCATCCAAAAATAATAAATATAAAAAAATTTCTTAAAATTATTAAATTAATATGAAATTTTAAGGAATTTTTTGGGAAGAGAATTCACTTGTTTGACCATGAAACTGTCTTCATTTTTTTTTTTTTTAAAAATGTGTTGACAACTTAAAAAGTAGTCGTTAACAAGTTAAAATGTAACAACTAATCACTATTGTCATAGGTATTAACAATATATTTATTTTGTACATCACATAACTATATTTAACTTCAAATCCTTATGATACGCTGAAAACATGTATTATTAATACTTATTGTGATAGTTGTTAATTGTTGCATTTTAAGTTATTTATGACCACTCATTCAGTTGTCAATGCTTACTACTAAGTGCTGAGAAAATATGTAGTTAATATCTATCATGAACATTGTTAATTGTTATATTTTAAATTGTTAATCACCGTCTACAGTTGTTAATGAATACACATAAAAACACCTAATAAGTTGAAAAAAATATAAGGATAGTTTAGTAATTAAATAAGTGGAATCGTGAAATATTTTGTGACTTCAAATTTATATTAATTTGATGATTTTAAAAAAAATTTGTATTGATTTCTCTTAGCAGGGATCTTAATGCAATTTTTCTTTCTTCTTTTCACGCAAAATGCACGAACGATGGGGTAGGAAAAGGAAGATATTTCGTGATTTTGCTAAAAATAAAAGTGCTAAGACTTTGATTTTGTTTTATTGTTTGGATTAGCTTTTAAAGAATAACTTCTAAAAAAATATTAATAAAAAATTATTTTAGGAATATATTTTAAAAGAACAGGTTTTGTGAAAAATATGATTTTAATAAAATGAGAATATTTAGATGGTTGTTATCATCATTACTTTTTTTTTTCAAGTGCAAAGTATTAAAAAAGACATAAATTAAGGTGATAATCACATAAAAGGAAAATTTTAAGTAATAATTTTATTTAAAGTAAAATATTAGTAAATAATATATTTTTGTTTTAACATATTATATGTGATGAATATAATTAATTAATAATTTGTCTATGTATATATATTTATGAAATATAAGATTAAACATATTTTTAGAAAAATGATAATTTCATCTAAAAAATTTTAAACACCATGTGTCATAATATTTTTGAAAAATTGAATAAATAATTGTAACACCAATTTATTATTTATATAATTAATTAATACATGTGTGTATCTATTTATAAAATATAAGATTAATTAAGAAATTCACCTATGAAAAACCATATTTTTCAATACAGAAGTGATTTTACAAAAAAAAAAAAACAAACACCATGGTATTTGGATGGTTTTCTCAAAATCATGGTTTTGAGATTTATCCAAACACCAACACAAAATTCTATGTGAAAATGATTTTTAGGAGATGTTTGGATTAGCTTTTAGGGAATAGATTCCAGAGAAAAGTAATAAAAATTTATTTTGAGAAGAGATAGAAGTATAAATATTATGAAAGAGTGATTTTAATCAAATAAAAATGTTTGGATGGTTATTATTAAAATCACTTTTTTTTCAGGTGTAAATTATTAAAAAATGATATAAGTTAATGTGATAATCACATAATTACATAAAATATTACTCCCTCCGTTCCTTATTATAAGAGACGAATAACCGAATTACGTTGATTAAAAAACAGTTAAAATTAGTTAAGAATAATCAATGTGTGAAAAGTATATTTTTTTTTCCAAAAATGTCCTCATTAATAAGGAGAGAGAGCATGAGAGAGAAAAATTAAATTATTAAAAAAGAGAGAAGTGGGAGAAAGAGAGAGTGTGAGTTGGAGACAATAAATATGGGTAAAATAAGAAATCAACACAAAAAAGTAGAAATAACTTTTAAATGTCTCTTATATATAGAAACATGCCATAAGTATCAAATGTCTCTTATAATAAAGAACGGAGGGAGTACTATTTAAAGCAATAATTTGGTAAACAATATATTTTTCCAACATAGTAATATATTAAAAAAAGATAATTAATTACTAATTAATATGCATATGTATAAGTGCCATAATATTTTTAGAAAAATTGAATTAACATATTTATGACAAATTTAATATTTATATAATTAATTGATTAATGATTAATAAGTGTGTGTATCTGCTTATAAAATATAAGATTAAATATATTTTCTAAAAGTTATGATTCAATCTTAAAGATTTTCCATGCCAAGAGCACGAGTTTTCTATTTCAAAAAGTATAAAAATTTCACTTTTGAAAAGTCCTGGTTTTTTCACTCCATGGTCTCCAATCAAAATTGATTTTATCAAAAATTCATGTGTTTGGATAGTAGATCATGGTTTTAAAGCTAAAAGGCTTTTTTTTTTTTTTTTAAAAAAAAGAAGCCAAACTCCCCAATGAACTCCACAATTGCTTGCCCAGGAGAGTTTAGCGGAAGAAGAAAGGGAAAATAAAGGAATAAAGGAGTAAAATAAGAAAAGGAAAAATTACATTTATTATTTTTTTAGGGTACGGGGGTCAATGAATTATCTTTTTCTTCTTGAATATATTTAAAATTTTTATGGTCATTCATGATAAATATTAACCAGTATTTCTGTAATTTAAAATATTGCAGGCAATGGATATGAAGTGTTCTTGAGTTTTAGTAGAGGCAAAGAGACTCCAGAATCTTTCCCTTCCCGTCTCTATTCATCTCTGACCAAAAAAGGATATTCTGTTTTCAAAAATGAAATATCAATTGAACTATTGCAAAGTGTTCGATGTCCTAAACTTTTCATCATCATCTTCTCTAAAGACTATGTTAGTTCTATAATGTGCCTCGAGGAACTCACAAAAATCATGAAGTTTCGCATGCCATATGGTCATGCAGTTTTTCCCATATTCTATGATGTGAGTCACTCTGAAGTTTGTAATCAAGGATCATTTCAAGGTCGCATGCAAAATGTTTCACCCACTGAAGAGGAAGATTCAAGGTGGGGGAGAGCTCTCCATGAAGCTGCAAGAATCAAAGTTAGGATTGATGCGTCTGCTCACCTCAGGTCCGAGTAATTTTTTTTTTTCCTTTTGTTCTACGTTCTATGTTCTTTTCAATTTTGCTAATATATTGTGTGCGTGTTTAAGAAAGTAGTACAACTTTTTTGGCAATCCATAATAATTAGGGAGTATTTTAATAGAAGCCAAACCATGATTTTAAAAATGCTTTTACAATATACGAAGTAAATATGTGGATGTGTGTCTTATTTTGCGAAAAAGTGTTTTTATGGAAGAGTCTGTCTCGTTTTGTAAAAGTGCTTTTGGAAAGCACTTTTCCATCTTGCCAAACACCATTTTAGTTATTAAAAGATAAGCTTGATATTAATTCTTAATAATATTTATTATTATATAAAGCCTTTATGTTAGGCTTTAACATATATACTCCCTACTCATATATAAATGTTTTTTTTTCCCTATAAATGTTTTGAAGTTAAAACCTATAGCACATAGTCTAATATCACAATATATGTGACACTTTTCACAGACAGCAAATTTAGGTTGCAGGACACGCATAATTTCCCAATATATTCGTGCTATGCAGTGGAGTCTTCTAATTTATCTAACTCAATTAACATATATAGAACTATGATTTTAGGAATTGACTTGCATTATTTTAATTCGGCGAAGGCGAGAATATGATAAAATTAACAACGCTATTGTGTGTTGAATTTCTTGATGGAAATATATGTGTCACTACTAATACCGCATTATCCTTCTTTATTATTTGTAGTCATGTTAATTAATCAGTGCTCCCATTTCTGCTATTCTTTTTTCATAATTCACAGCTCTCTACATGATGAGGATGGTATTGAGCCTACTATCGATCTTGTTGATTATTTATTGAAGCCTTTGTATAAGCATAAGATGTTCCCTGTTGGAGTGGATTCTCGTGCTGAGGATGTGATTACAATGCTTCATAACCATAGATCAAAACATGTTGTCTTCATAGGCATATGGGGAATGAGGGGTATAGGCAAAACAACTATTGCCAAAGCCATCTTTAACCACATTCAGTGCGCATTTGAGAGTACATGTTTTCTTCCAAATGTCAGGGAACAATTGGAGGGGAAAGTCGACCTTGTTTCAGCAATATGTGAAGTAACAGGTATAAGAATAGATAGGACTGAATTAGGAAGCCTCGACTTGAATGAAAGGCCTTGCCATAAGAAGGTACTTCTTGTGCTTGACGATGTGAATCAGTTGGAGCAACTAAATACTTTATGTAGAAGTCGCGAACAGTTTGGTGAAGGGAGTATAATAATCATTACAACTGGCGATTTACATCTACTTAATGCCTTTCAAGTGGATTATATATATCGCATGAAACTTTTGAGCAACCAAGAGTCTCTTGAACTTCTCAGTTGGCACTCATTTCAACAAGCATACCCTAAAGAAGAGTTCATCGATATTTGCAAAGAAGTGATTGCTTATGCTGAGGGACTGCCACTGGCTCTTATTACAAACATTGCCTCTATTTTGGATGACGAGGAATTGGATCAATGGGAATCCATAGTGTGGAAAATGGAAGGAGTTATAGACAAACTAAGTTCTAGCTTTGACTATTTAAATGCTGAAGAGAAAGAAATATTTCTAAATATAGTTTTATTTTATATTGGGAGGGACATCGATGATGTGACCCAAAAGCTGAATGCCCATGGAAGTAATGCTCATATTAGGATAGAAGTCCTAAAGGAGCGAGGACTTGTAACCATTGATAACAGCAACAAACTTAGAATGCATAATCTATTGCAGGTCATGGGAAGGCAAGTAATCCGTAGGACTTTACGAAGTGAGCTTGGAAATCCAGGTAGGTTCTGGTTTTGTAAGGATGTTTTATGTGCTTCACGTATTATATCAACATGCTTGTGTCAATGATAATTAATATTATTATTCATAATATTTCTGACATTTTATCATCTTATATTATAAAAATGTTTATATCGTAATAATATTTTAATTATATTACTTTAAATAGCTTTTTATTTTATTAATATTCTGTTTTTTTTTATATTATTCAGCTTACAGGTATGAGGTGTTCTTGAGTTTTAGAGGTGACACTCGGAAAAATTTTACTTCACACCTCTATGCGGCTCTTTATAATGCTGGCATAACTATTTTCAAAGATGATGTTGAGCTTCCCACAGGAAACTATATCAAAACGGAACTCTTGCAAGCAATTGGAAATTCAAAAATCTCAATCATCATCTTCTCTAGTGAATATGCTGGATCTAAATGGTGTTTGGAGGAATTGTCAATGATCATGGGGCTTCGTAAATGGAATGACCGAGTGGTTCTGCCTGTGTTTTACCATGTTGATCCATCAGAAATTCGTCATCAAACTTCCAATTTTGGAGAAGCATTTCAAGATCTTATGCAAAAAATTTCCCGATTAAAAAATCAAATTCCAGCATTAAAATATCAAGTTTTGGATTGGAGGAATGCGCTTACTGAGGCTGGGAGCCTTGCGGGGACAGTTGTACTTAGTTCCAGGTAATTTTTTAACTCTTTATTTACTTTTAATTGAAACACTTGATATGTGTTTGTTATTCGAAATATGACTCACTTCTGTTTGTTCCCCGCTAGGCACAGTCTTAAAAGTTACATATATTGTAAAATTCTCAAGTCTAATATGGCATATGCATTGTTTTGCAGTGAAATAATGAGTGTTAACACATAATATCTCCTTTTCTCCAAACAAAACATACAGCTTTTAAAATATTGAATTTATTTGTTTGTAACCATATGTGTTTTTATATCCAACGCACAATTCCTATTATGCTCATGTGATTTGCAGGGACGAGAGTGAATATGTTAAAGATGTCGTTAGGCAAGTTTGTGATATATTGGACAAGAAAGACTTGTTTGTCGCTGAACACCCAGTAGGAGTGGATAATCGCGTGGAAGAAGTGATCACAATGTTGAAAAACCATCCGTCTGAAGATGTTGCCGTGGTAGGGATATGGGGAATGGGTGGTGTAGGCAAAACAACTATTGCTAAAGCCATTTATAATCAAATGGGTCCCACTTTTGAGGGCAGAAGTTGCCTTTTAAACATCAGAGAAGGATGGGGTCAAGAAGAGAAGAAAGTGTGCTTACAGAACCAACTTCTTTCAGAAATATGCAAGACAACGCAAATGAAGATAAATAGTATCGAAGCAGGAATAATCACATTAAGGGATAGACTTCGCCATAAAAAGGCACTGGTTGTACTTGATGATGTGGATGAGTTAGATCAGCTGAATGCCCTAGTTGGAAGTCGTGACTGGTTTGCTCAAGGAAGTAGAATAATCATTACAACAAGAAATAAACGTCTACTCCATAAAATGGGTTGTCTTGTTTACTCAATGAAAAATTTGGATGATAAGGAATCTATTGAGCTTTTTAGTTGGTATGCATTCAAGCAAAAAAGTCCTAAAAACGATTTCATTGAGCTTTCAAAAAAAATAGTTGCATACTCTGGGAGACTTCCATTAGCTCTTGAAGTCCTTGGATCTTATTTATTTAATAGTGACGACACGAAGGAATGGAATGAAGTATTGGAGAAACTCATAGAAATTCCCAATGACAAGATACAAAAGAAGCTAAAAATAAGCTTTGATGATTTAGATGGTTTGGAGAAAAAAATATTCCTTGATATATGTTGCTTCTTTATTGGGATGGATAGAAATGAAGTGACACAAATATTAAATGGCTGCAAATTCTTTGCTGACATTGGAATCAAAACCCTTGTGGAGCGAAGCCTTATAACCATTGATGAGAAGAACAAGCTTGGTATGCATGATTTGCTGCGTGACATGGGAAGAGAAATAATTCGTGAACACTCTCAAGATGAGCTTGGAAAGAGAAGTAGGCTGTGGTTTCATGAGGATGCACTAGCTGTGTTATTAAAACACAAGGTAGGAACTTATTTTGTACCATAACAATAGTTTCTATTTTGCTTTTCGCAAACAAATAAAAGAAGTGCACATTTTTATTTCAATATGTGTTTATTTTTACAGGGAACAAAGGCTATTGAAGGACTATCTTTGATGTCAAAAGGTGGAACAATGCATTTGCTTCAGATAGAAGCATTTGAGAAGATGAAGAGACTCAGATTACTTCGTCTTGACAATGTACAACTTAAAGGAGATTACAAATACATCAGTAAAGATCTCAAATGGCTTTGCTGGCATCATTTTCCTATGAAATACATTCCTAGCGACCTTTATCAAGAGGATTTAGTTGTTATAGACTTAAAGCATAGTAGTCTCCGACAAGTGTGGAAGGAATCCCGGGTATGTAAATTAATAGCTAGTTTGTTGACTTTTTGAGCCATAACTGCCCAAATAAAATTAATGAAAAATATTGTCAAACTGTTATATAGCTCAAAATACTTCAAATCTAGTTTCTGTGATGTAGTGTTTTTTTTTTTAAATTTTTTTTCCGGTATATGACTCAAAAGGCCAAGTTAATTTGTGGTATTAGTTTCAAAGTTTATGGATTTATATTAAAGTAGGATTCGAGATGTGTAAATAGATTACTCTATTTTTTATTGGATTTTATATTTTACAACCTTCTTGATAGAATTTTTTCCATAACTTCTGATTGAATCTTCCCTATCCACTATTGAAGAATAAAGCTATTAGAGTTTGTTTATTTCGCATTGCTTTGCATGTCTTGCTATAGATCTAGATATTACCCCGATTTATTGAATTTTGTGTTACCTTGGCTATTCTAGATCACGTATTTGATAGTATGTTTATCTCTTCCAGAGTTAATTTTCAGTTGATTGAAAACAATGCTTTCACTTTGGGTTTTCAATCTAGATGAAGGATTTTACATATAATTGTTCCCTCATATTTTATTATTTATTTTTTTAAGATGTGTTTAGCTAATTTCCCTTTGAAATTAAATGTTTTTGTTATAGTTATTGGAGAGTTTGAAAATCCTCAATCTCAGCCACTCTCCTCACTTGGTGCAAACACCTGATTTTTTGAAACTACCAAATCTTGAAGAGTTAATCCTCAAAGATTGTCCAAGTTTGGACACGATACATCATTCTATTGGGCTTCATCATAAACTTCTTCTGCTAAATTTGGAGAATTGTATTGGCCTTCATAGTCTTCCAAGAAATATTTATAAATTAAAATGCTTGAAAACTCTCATTCTTTCTGGTTGTAAGAATATTGAAAAGCTTGAGGAGGACATAGAGCAAATGGAATCTTTGACAACTCTAGATGCTCCTGCATTAAAACAAGTGCCCTATTCTTTGGTGAGATTGAGAAGCATTTTATATCTATCTGTTTGTGGTCATGAAGGATTATCAAATCATGTGATTCCTTCTCTCTACCGGTCCTGGATGTCCCCAACAAATAATCCACTACCTCTTATTCCATCACATGTGAGCATGCCATCACCAATTTTGTGGGATATGCTATACAGTATCCATAGTCCTTCAACAATCCCAAGTACTGTACCAAAGCACCAAAGTCATTTGTTGGAAGATGGATTGGAGATTTCTGATTCATTGTGTGCCACAAATTGTATGGACATCTCAATACTTAAGAATTGCTTGGAACATCTTTTAATTAACATCGGAAAGAATTCTCAAGTCTTTTGTACACTGTCAAAGAAGATTTCACAGGTTCTCTCTCTCTCTCTCTGAATTTTTTGAAAAAGATTTCTACATGCATAATTATATAGTTGAATTAGAGGTTATGTTTCTCTTATTATGCAGGGATTGAATCTTACAGAGTATGGTGATGACTGTATTCTTCCTGGTGATAATTACCCCTATTGGCTAACATTCAAAGGTGAAGGAACTTCTGTAAAATTTAAAGTGCCTCCAGTTACTGGTCATGATCATTTAAAAGGGATGACTATTTGTTGTGCATATATCCCCTCCAAAGATTTGGATAACAAGGCATGTGAATCTTGGATACTTTACTTAATGATCATAAATTATACAAAGGCAACCACTTTGCCCTACAGAGGAGACGAACTGAAATCCTTGAAAGAAGCAGAGATGAAAGAAATAATATCAAATCTGGAAGCTGATGACCAAGTAGAAGTGAAAGCAGTTTTTGGGAATGGATTCACTGTGAAGAAAACAGCGGTCTACTTGATATACAATGAATCAATTGATAAAAAGATGGAGCCTTCAACATCTGAAGCTGTAAATTTAACTGGCACCAAACACAGTTGTGAGGAGGAGTGCAAGGCACACCAATCTACCAGACCTAGAAAGGCAATGAAGATTTGAAATTTGGAAACTTTCTTCCATTTTTTTCTGCAACACTTTCTCTTGGGTGTTTTTCTGGCCATAACACTTTTTATGAAGTCAACATGTCATTTCCGAATTAAAACTGATGTATTCGTATGGTTGTATATAAATGATTATATTCTCCCATTTGCAGCTCTCTTTTTACAGATAATCTGGGGTGATATCCCTCTTTCCTCTTCCCTTCCTATTCCTGGCAAAAATGAAGATAGAATTGTATTAAAAACATAAGAAATGAAACCAACTAGTCTTTGTTTAACTTGTTATTGAAGCAGTGGCGGGGCCATATTGGCTATGACATTAAAAATGGGGAAAGCAGAGTGTTTTGAGATATAGTTTGGAGCAAAAGCAAGAGACATGTCTGGAATTGTTGACGTCTTCTTGCTAAGGGGTCGTCATCTATGCTATAATCACTCTTTTTATATAATGAGAGCTTAACAAACATAATTGCAAGATAAATAAAAAATAGACAATACTGTACTCATATATATATATCTGTGACAAGTCTCAGAATTATAATACTAAGAGATGAAGAAGACTAGAAGCATTAACAAATAAGAGGAAAAACTACGGGCTATAGGAAGGGAGGAGGGGGAAACTTCAGAGTCATAGGGACAATGGCCTGAGGGACAAGAGAAAAAAAGCAGAGAGAAATCTCATAATTAGCTTCACTGCTACAGGCCCCCATCTTCCCCCATCTAGATACCCCAATGGATTGTTCCACGTTAGTCCACTCTTCATAAACCCAATTATCGCATCTTGTGGTTTATTAGTCTCAGGTTCACAATCATAAGCTTATTTTATGTTCAGCCCATTCATTACAATCTGGCAGCTTTCTCCTAGGGTAACATTACACATTTATCAGTTGCTAATGCGCTTGGCGCAGTGTCGTTTTATCCTATCTCTTTTTACTTACTTGGATGCGGAATATATAATAAGTCATGATTGGTTGGTTCCAACTTATAAGTGTATAGCATTTGATGGCTTTTAATTTCTGGATGAAGATTAGATGAAAAAGGACAGCATTTTGGTACAAGAATTAAAGTAGTCATTTGCAGAAGACAAAGTTCATCACTGTGTCAGTCACTGCCAAAGATGAATTTTACACTTCTACTTTTCTTTTGGGTCTCCTTTCAGTTCATAACCTTTATTCTCCTTGTTGGGTGTGACTATGCGCTATAATTATGACATTAGTTATTGAGGTTCTGGCATTTAGAATCTAACGTTGCCAATTATTTATGACATGATTGAACTACTCCTTTCTTTTCTTTCCAGCACAAGGTTTCGTTATTATTTATTGAAGCCATATTCACTACCTGCGTCTTTGTATTTGTTCTAGATGTAGTAGTCTATGTAACCTCTTGGGTTTTGACTATTTTCTTCGGAGGATTGAAAGTGAGTATCTTTTTGACACCTCTGTAGCTACATATTCGTGCTCATCACTTTCTTTCTTTATTAATAATTCAGAGCCTCGGAGCAATAGTAAGGCTGCAGGCATGTATTCCTAGAGATCATAGGCTCAAATCTTGAAAACAGTCATCCATGGATTGGCATATGTATGGCGCGATGGGACCACTCCCCTTTTGGTTCAGTATGAGCCCATCTTGAGGGTGAAGTCAAACTTATAGCTAGGATGGACTTTATCGCTTCCCTGTCAGGACTTCTTGTTGACAGAGGACAATGATACGGGGCGTGATATATATAGTTTAAGTAGCTTCTCACTTTTTAGGATAAAGTTTATTATTGTTGATATACTTGATATTATGAGATGTAGTCTATAATGAGTACTCCTCCGATCCTAAATATAAAACTTCTTTTATAGTGAAAATTACATTATAAAAGGAGTCTTATGTTTAAGATCAGAAGAGTAACTTGCAAGGATATCGAGCAGAGGGACTGCTCGAATTGAAAGAGAAAATTGTAAGGATAGAAAGTACAATCAAACTAAAACAATTACATTATCATGAAACAACTATGAGGTCAATCTGATTATAAGGTTTTTCTGTTGAGCCATGTAAGATAATGCAAGTAAAGACCAAACAAATTGTCAAAAAGACAAAGAAAAGGACCGAATTTGACAAAAATAAGTTTTTTTGGTTGAGATTTTCATCTCATAAAATAAAAGTCTAGAAAAAACAAACTCAAAGTAATAGGGGAGTGAAAAATTTTCAGGAAAATTGGGGGGAATTTTTATGGTGAAAATAACCAAAACCATTGTGTGGATAAAATTCACAAAGCATTTGTACTTTTTGCACACAACAACCTATTAGCTGCTCTTTACCAACAAAATTTTCAGCCAAATTTTTTTCCAATTTTCCTGATTTTTTTTTTTCAAAGAATGAATTTGGAGGGTTACTATGTAAAACTTTTTTTGAAAATTTTCACCCATGAATATTAGGCACTTGAAAGTTTTTTTTTGTGAATTTGCTCAGAAGTTTAAAATCATGACAATATTATTTTATACTGTTAAAAATGTTCAACAATAGATGTTAATTTTTTAATAGTAAGGAATAATATTCCTATGACTTTAAACAAACAAGGCAAATTTGCATTTAAAATTTTTTTCAGCTGTCCAGTATTTCTAAATAAAAATTTTCAGAATAAATTTGTTTCTTAATTTGTAACTCTCCCACAACATCATTATATACAAGTTTAATGGTTAATATTCAAATCTGAATTGAAGAGCCCTGGATTAAAAAACCACAAGTTACATTTCATGTGCCCATGCGATAATAATCTGTAAAATAAATTTTCCACTTTGTAACCAAAAAAGCTCATATTCAAGACCATATGGTAAGGGACTTTCATTGTATTTCAATCCATAAAATATTTGTTATAATTTATTTTTAATATATTGCGGAAAGAAATATATATAGTTATAAAGAAGTGTCTCCATTATTAGAAATTTTAAAAATTTATTCAAAAACAACGGTTTTCGTTGTTATTCTTGAAAAAGGTAAAAACTGAAAATAAAATGAACTGGGCTGTGTCCCTTTTCTCCCGTCATGTTTCTCTTCTCTCCACTCATTCTCGCTCGCCCTCCCATCTCCGTAAGTTTTCTCTTGTCTTTCCTATTTGATTATGCTTTTGATTTCATTGCGATGTATGCTGAACTGGGTTTATCGTAGTTTTGGTTATTTTGTGAGGACCTTTTACTTTTCAGTAGTCTGCATTGCCCTTCTCGTTGATATGTGATACAAAAATTTATTCAAATGAACAGAGTTTGTTCCTTTTCGAATCTTTGGGACTTAGATGTATGTTATTCTTGTCCCTGTCAGTGTTATTCACTGAATCGTGAAGTTGATATGCGACGTATGGAACAAATTATCATTTTTGAGTTACCGTTGGTGTTGTGACGATTATGCATTTGTGTTTAGTCTTTTCCCATTTTGACATCAACTGCCGTTTCAATTTGGCTGCAGAAGCCATTTTTCCTTCTTAATTTATCTGTGCTTCTTCAATGCTAAACAAATTTGTTGTGATGCATTGCCTTAATCATATTTCTAAGAAACTTAATCTTGTTAGGCAAGGGTCATCTTCAAGAATCATCAATAATTTAGTTAAATTTCTGAAGAAAAAATTGAAAATTGATGAAGAGTTTGAAAGAAAAAAGTGAAGTTTGTTTATTTCTATTGTATATATTTTCTCAAGGATCATCAATAATTCAATAATATAATTATGTTTCTGGAGAAAAATGAAAAAACTGAAGAGCCTGAAACTTGAAAAAGGAAAGCAAAGTCTTTTTATTTGTACTGATGTAAGAAACCACCCAAGGAATTGGAAATATATATAGTCTATGGCACATTAACCTTTGTCTTGTTTTAGAATTCCATCCTCTAGTTCTGAATCTACTTGTGCCAGGACACTACTATAACGAAATTGCTGTTGTGTGTTTGATTCAAGTTACTTGTAGAGAAAATATAAGGAAAGCACAAACTAAAATTAGTTTTCGTCATAATTTAAATCTCACATAGTTGATATATGCTAATTAAGGAGAGTCATACATAACTCATTTTACCAGGTTTGATGAAAACTGCAGAGTTACCAGTCTAGCGGTAGTGATGCGCTGACTTGCCATTGATTCTGTTGTGTTATGGCTAGATTAGCTGGAAACTTTCTTACCCCTATTGTTCTTTGACTGATTGAATTGATCTGATCAAATTGGTTCAGTTGAGCATTTGTTCACTTCCATTTTTCATATCCAGATAATACTTTCCGTGAAGAAACCTGGTCTTCTATAATTAAAGCGATATTTTCACTTGAATATCTTATTAACAATATTCATGCATTTCTTCTAAACTAGTCAAAAGCTTCTAGCGTGAAGGGCGATTACATATATAGTTTAATTAGCGAGTCAAAAAGATCCTCTATATTTTTTCTCTGTTTGTTGTAAAAGTTACTGCAATTAGATTTTAACATTATGTTTTGTTGGAATTTGAAACATGCAGCAAAAAATAGAGAAACTCTGTTTCCAGGCACATTGTCTTTTATCTGCCACACCTCCTTCCACCTCATCATCAACTGGATCAGCAGCAATTCTCAGTTTGGAAAAGTTGGCATTAACTCCTATAGATGGTAATTCTGACTCAGTCACTGCAACCAGACCTTGGAATATTGGTACAACTGGTCCACCCACAGAGGCTAGATTACACAATTATATTTTGACGTAATAATTATATCAATTCCATGATTGCCTGATCAACACATAATACTTGCGCTGAAAGTGATCTATTCCTAATAGTTTGCATTTGAGGTGTTTAATGGACAAACCAGTTCAAGTTATTTGTGCATGCCCACCTAATGATGTTGAAGTGCAACGTGATATACTCTGATTGGATTTGTCTTGAGTACTGTTGCATTAGTATTATACTCTAATAATGTTGAGAAACATTAAGTACCAATTTTTATTAATTTTTTTGGGCCATATGCAATTAAATTTCACTATTTGCTTGATTTTTTGGTAAATAAAATTTCTCTCACTT